ATTTGTTTTGATGTTTTGGATTCCTTTTTTGGAAGAGAATTTTCTGGTATATAGTTAGCAAGAGTTCTAAGAACCCTGGGATGCTCTCCCAGAATCAAATTGTGTCTGTAGAATATTGTGAGTACAGGTATGAGTTATAGCAATGCATTATGGATTCCTAAATTCAAGCTTGGAAAGAACAGGTTTGGAGGAGTGGATAATCCCAACCTGGGTTTACAATGCAATGTAAACCATATCTTTTGTGTGTCTATAAGTTAGCAAGAGTTCTAAGAACCCTGGGATGCTCTCCCAGAATCAAATTGTGTCTGTAGAATATTGTGAGTACAGGTATGAGTTATAGCAATGCATTATGGATTCCTAAATTCAAGCTTGGAAAGAACAGGTTTGGAGGAGTGGATAATCCCAACCTGGGTTTACAATGCAATGTAAACCATATCTTTTGTGTGTCTATATACACACACAAATATTATGGGCAAGATGAGTATCACTATGTATCAAGATTTCCCAACACTTCCCATTACAAGACCCTTTTTTTAAAGTTGCTTATAATCTTTCCAAATTCATCATTTGGGTAGAAATTTTCCCTGACAATATTTGCCTCATGCTGAATTTTATTTTGTGAAGGTTTTAACCAAAGTGGGCTCAGCTGTTCCAAAGAAATTAGTAGAAAATGTTGTTTTACCTCTGTTTAAAAAAAAAAAAAAAGTGACTTTTTTTCTTTGGGCAACTGTACTGCCTGTAGGCTTTGTGGGAAGGTCTTGAAATTTGCCAGAGGGCGGTCTTTGAGTTAACTACAGGCAGTCCCCGGGTTACGTACAAGATAGGGACTGTAGATTTGTTCTTAAGTTGAATTTGTATGTAAGTCGGAACTGGTACATATTGTAGGGGAAACTCTAACCAAACATTTCTCCAGAGCTCAGTTTTATTCTCCCACACCTCACTTCCCTCAGTCCTTTATTCTCAAGCTGAGGTGTCTGCTGAGAAAAGCCACTCCACGTCTCCCTGGTCTGCTGGGGGGGGGGGCGCTAGCTTCGTGTCTCCCTGGTCTGCTAGGGGGAAAAGCAGCTAGTGCGGGGTTGCCTCACCCCGTTTGTAAGTAGGGATCCGATGTAAGTCGGATCCATGTAACCCGGGGACTGCCTGTATATGCCTTTTTCATTCCCACTGAAAAGCCACCCAAATTTGGCCAACTTGCAAAACTTTGTAAAAAGTTTGGTAAAAATTTTTAGGGGCTGAATTTCCTAAAGATTTTGTTCATGCACACATGCTCCAGCCCAGAACAGAATGGGGATATTGAGAAGTTTGTAATTCATTAATTGTGTAGTTGACAAAAATGTTGTTCACTACATGATTAATCGATAAGGAGTAGCACTGCTACAACTCAGTCCTGGTACCTGCCTGGTCCAGTAACTACTACTCTGCACTACAGAGTATTGCAGAGCTGCAGAGGGGGTTGAAGCCAGTGCATAGGCAGACAGGCAGGCTCAGTCCTGGCTAGCACTGGGACACAGCATAAACCCCCACTGCAGCTGTGCACTGTAAGCACTCCGAGCCAGCCTGGGGGTTGAAGGCCGATCCTAGCCTGCCTGTACACCGGCTCTTAGTGCTTGTAGTGCAGAGCTCTAGAAGGGATTGATGCACTAAGAGCCGGCATGCAGTCTAGCTGGCTCAGTCCTGGCTCATGCCAGGACCCCGCATCAACCCCTGCTGCGGCTTTGCAGTATAAGCACTTGTATTGCAGAGCTGCAGTGGGGATTGATGCCAGGTCCCAGCACTAAGAGCCAGTGTGTGGGCAGGCTGCCTCAGTCCCAGCCTATGCCAAGACCTGGCGTCAACCCCCACTGCAGTTTTGCATTTTAAGCAGAAAGAGTCAGTGTGGGGGTTGATGTCGGGTCCCAACATGAGCTGGAACTGAGCCAGCCTGTCAACCAGCCTGCTAAAAAATTAGTCGGGATGGGAGGGGGGGAGAATGATGCATGTAGTCAATAACGTTAACCAATAAGCACCCACTTACTGGTTAATCATTTAGTTGTTTGCTGTTACATCACTAGAACAAAGCCAGACTAGCTTCAGTTTTAGGTCTGGGTCCTATAGATTGTATCAGGTTCTGGCAGGGAGTCTCTTTTGTGCTCTCACTGCCTCCCTGCTGGGTCCAGGCAGTGTGGAGGAGGAAGCTACCCAATTTGAATGTAGAAGGGACAAGAACTGATCCTGTGGGTAGAACAAATCGGGACAGCAAGCTTATGGGGTAGTCACTGGGACTGAAAGCTAGTGGAGGGAGGGGTTATGGTGTGGGGAGACTGGGAATGATTGGGCAAGGAAACTGGGAGTAGGAGGAAGATGGGGGGAAGACTAGGAGCTGAAATCAGATGAGGAATTCTGTAGGGAGGAGACTGAAACAGAACCAGTGAACAAGCCACCTTAAATCTGGCATTTTATAACTTTTTTGAGAGCTTGATTTGTCAACTGTAACAATAGTCTTATAATATAGATTTTGTGAGGGCAATATATAACTTGTGTGAATTAGTCTCTTCTTGATTCCGAGGTTTTGCAATTTAGTGCGGCTGGATCAGTTGCATACATTCAAGTCAATCGCATCTTTTTGGCTTGATATTACAAATGGAGACATTACTTGTGAATGCTATAAGTAGTATTATTTTTGCAAACTGACAATAGGTCTTGCAACAAAGAAACCTTTATCAAGAATAAATTATTTATGTGCTCTTATCCAAACGATGTGACCTGTGGCGCTGAACTGTCTCCTGGGATACTGGTTAAGAGCCTGAGGCCAGGATAGTGCTTGTAAGGACATAATTTGATTAGTCCAAGTACATTATGTGCTACAACTTTTGCTTGTGCTGATTGACTCTAGGTGGAATTAGAAAATTCAAAATACTGCAGAAATGCAGTGTAGCACAACAGCTTGGATTCTAAATCATGAGTATGCTGTCTGTCTGTGGGCTCCTTCTGTTTGAGCTGCAGTTCCTTGCTTTGTTCAAATATAGCCTGCTTTCCTTTTTAGAGAGTAGAAGGGGACTGTGTCGCTTTTAAATCTTCTTTAATCTGACCTTTACTGAGATTTTTCAATATTTCAAGAGGTCTCTATAAAGGAGAGCATCCTTCGATGTAACATTTGGGTTGTGCTATTGAGCATGCATTCTGTGGATATGTTTTGCATTAATAAATATCTCTAGGCAGGACAAAGCCATCCAAACACATAATTTAAGTTTATATTATCAGATCTGTAGTGCCCCCACGGTTTCCTCAGCAATTTCCCTTTCCTAGTTAAAAATCCTGCTTTAGATTAGACATGCAGTACTTTCCCCTTGCTATTACTGTGCCTTTCTGCAGAGGATCTCACCTGAGGATCACATCCCAAGAACCTCCATATTGGAGTTGCCTCTGTCAATTACTGGACCAGAGACAACACTTAATAAACTAGCATGTTCCTTCCCTTTTTCTTGTTCTCCTTGCTAGTAAACAAGGCAGATGGTTATCTTGTGACAGCTAATTAATGCTGCCACTTGACAAAACAATTTGAGGCACCCTCATACAAATAAAGAGAGCCCAGCTGTCATAGAAGAATGAGCCAGATGTCCAATCTTGTAGTTTTATGATCAAGGAACACAAATGTTGATTAGACATTTTAAAATGGTCATGTGATTACACAAAAAGTCACTACTACGCATCATCTCAATTGATCCAATAAGTCTCTGCACAATGCTTGTAAAGATCTCCAAACAGTAACAGGTAGAGACTTGTCCAGGGATAAAAGGAGAAATATAGCTCCCTGCTTCCTTTGTTTATTGCATTTGTTGACTAAGTGATTATCTGAAAAGAGGATTAGGTGTGGGGTTTTTTTTTTAAACCCCTTTGTTGAAGAAGCTTCTTGCAGGAAAACTGGAACTGATTCAATTTTTCTGATAGCCTGTTTGTTCCTCAATCTAGTTATGATTTCTGAGCTGACCAACCTGTGGTCCACCATAATACATTGTATTGGTATGCATGACATTCTGCAAATTTTGGGAGATGGCAGTTTTAGTTTGAGTTGCATTACCAATAGTCATTCTTGTCTAAATTCTTAGGCTTGTAAAGGCTACAAGGCACCCTCCATCCATTGTAGTCAGTGGAATTTGAGGGTACTCTGTACCTGAAAGAGGAAGGCATTCATGTGCAGGATTGGGCACTGAAGTATAATGATCAAACACTGGCCTATTGAAATAAATGGAGCTTTCTGCTGGAAGTCTGTACACCCTTGCAGATTTCAATAGGACTTTGATCTGGCCTATCTGCCCAGATCAAATTGCAGGGTTACGGCCTGAAACTCTTATCAGGCAATAAAAAAAAGAAATGTAATTTAATCACTTCTGTTA